AGAGGTAAGCAGCCACTGACTCGTAAGACGCAATAACTGTTATTTCTAGTTCCTGTCACCATTTCACTGAAGTATACTGTAAAATAATTGATACTAATTTTTATTTATTTGATAAATTAAATTGTCTTCAGATATACATAGTAGAAAGCTATTGCAAGCTTTTTTAGTAAATTTATTTTATTAATCTCAAAAGCTTTTAGGTTTGCACGAAGGTCTTAATTCAGATTTAAATAATATGCATCGAATACTGATCTACTCTAAATGGTAGCATGATATTATATTTGATCTATGTGTGTGGTAATTAAATGCCATATAGAAAATGTAGCCAGTCAGATTACTGGATGCACGTTAAACTGTCGTTCAAACTTACAGGTTTGCACTAATATTGTAATATTGTGTATTAAATGTCTGCCTTTGTTATATTAAATTGCATGATATTTGCAATTCCGTGGTGGCGTGGAGAAATTTATTAAAGTCTAGTCAATTGAATACTTAATATTATATTATATCTTATTGTTTTTGTGAACTTAGACCTACATGGTCATGCTTTAAAATCCTTAAAATATTCCGGAACGTTTAAGAATTTACAAATTTAGTAGTAACAGTGTATTAAAAGTAATAAACAATTAAATGTAATACATTTTATTTCAGTATATTATGTTATAAAAATTTGAAATAAAATAGAAACACTAAACTGAGGCATCAAAAGGTAGAAATAGATTGGCTAACATTTGTATATAACGTATTTATATAACAAACTTTTAAAATCCTTTCTGCTTTATGATAATTATTACTGGGCTCTAGGCCCTTTGTCTTTTTACTCTCCATTATTTTTTCAGAGATCTTCAGTTTTTGAATTAGAATTATAGTATTACTACACACAACAGTCGGAAATGGTAATATCTAGAAGATCCTGAGTTGTAGTGGCGGTGGTATGTGGTATGCCGCTTAAAACCAAAACTAAAGTTCTTGAATTTTATCTATTTGAAAATATTATCTCTACTTCATTTATATAGGGCGATAGGCCCGTTCCTCGTAATCAAATATTTAATTTTGCAGCGGAAGTGTCTTTTAAGTTTCATTACCCTGATACAGCCATCCCGTTAGAAAATATGGTGGCATCTCCTGACAACATGTGACTGCTGGTACTGCTAGATATTGTAACACAAGTTAATTCAATTCGTTATATTTATTTCTTGTTCATGTAAATACACATCATCTTTACGTAGATACATTTAATAAATTGCTTTATTCCTGGGCTTCACGTCCCTGTTATTCATAATCTGGTAGTTTAACTTTCTACAGGTCGCGACAATCATTGATTTTGATCCTTTTACTCACGTTGTGTTCGTACGATAGATATACTGGCAAGTTTCTTTTACAACTTAACTTAAAACATACGACAAAATTATTTTGCCATAAAATAAATGAAAGCAACATTAGTTGGTTCAATAGGACCAAATTTGTTTAGTTGTAAGTGTTCTTCACTCCACAGTTCATCCATTAAAATTGACATCAATAAATTCGCGAGGTTGCAAGTTTTCACCACTGCCATCGTAGCTTTTTGCGTCCGGCCAGATCCGATCCTGTTTATTTTTCTGCACGTATTTGTAAGTCTGGACACAAATATGCTTCACTTAAAAATAATTTCAAAAACGAAACTGATTCTTTTGTCATAAAATAAATAAAAGTAACATTATGTGGTTCAATAGGACCAAAAATGTTTAGATGTAAGTGTTCTTCAGTGTACAGAACATAAAATATTTTGCTGACATCAGTACTCCTATGTGCGCGGCGCGGCAGAGTTTCCACCTCTGCCATTGACACCTTTTTGCATCCGTACAGATCCGGTGCAGTAGTTGGCGTTTTTTTGCAAGTGTCGTAAGTCTGGCCCACTATTGCTTCACTTAAAAATAATTTTAAAACAAAACTGATTATTTTGCTATAAAATAAGTAAAATCGACAAAATGGTTAGTTGTAAGTGTTCTTAGTGTACAGTACATCAACTATTTTGCCGTCTCCAATAACAGCGCGGCGCCTGAGGTTTTCCACTTCTGCCATTGTTGCTTCTTTGCATCCGACCGGATCACATCTAGGTGTCGGTGACTTTTCTGCACGTAGCGTAAGTCCTTCTAAAGTTGCTCCATTTAAAAATTTATAAACATAAGACTGAATAATTTATCCAAAAAATACATATAATTAACTATACGCTGGTTCTACAGAACCGAAATGTTTAGTTGTAAGTGTTCTTTAGAATACAGTACATCAACTATTTCGCTGACATCAATACTGCATGGGGCTGCAAGTATCATCTCTGCCATTGTAGCTCCTTTGCATCAAACGACAAGATCGGATCCAGATGTTGGCGACTTTTCTGCACGTGTCGTAAGTCTGCGCCAAAGTTGTTCTTTGTTGTCAGTTGCTGATGCCGTATCCAAAATATGCTGTCCTGCAAATGCGCCTGTGAAGTTGTTTTATAACAAGATCGTCTTTGCCCCTGCTTAACGTCGCCACCGGTGTCTTGCGTCGGCACCGGTGTCTGCGTCGGCACCGGTGTCTGCGTCGCCTCCGGTATCAGTACTGACATTCCAGCCACCTTCGATTGATTAGGTACCCTTAGAAAAGTCTATCTTTCGTAAGCTCAATTACTTAAATACTACTCAATGTTATTACTACTTAATATCACTGACATGTAATATATATACAAAAGTATGATCATTGAGTAACATGTACTTAGTACATATAACTCAATGAGTATGATGTAATATGAGATGTTACAAATAATAAGTAGCAGACGTCTTAATTCAGAGCCTTATACTGTACGTTATACACCGCGCGCCATATTCGTATGATAAAGCTTGTTGCAGCTGTCGTCTTAACACTTTTGGGAACAAATGTACTGCTGCAACTGCTGCGGGCTCATCCGCAAGTAACCTCAATTCTGTCCTGTAGGTTCCAAATACAAGTTTTGCTTCTTAACACGGCACCGGCGCTTTTGATGCAATCCATCAATACTGCATCACTGCCGTTGAGGCGGTTAGTAAACACCGCACCGCTGACGCCGTGGCGATCCACGAACACTGCACCGCTGCCGTCAAGGCGGTTCAGAAACACTACACCACTGCCTTTCGGTTTCGGTTTGATGTCACCTTCCTCACGAAGTCACGTTGCTGCCGTGTGCGGTCTTTGGTAATGCTCTCGGGGCTTTTTCTAACGTGGCGCAGCTGCCTTCGAAAAGGGCCTACAAATACCGCGCAACTACCATCGGGCTTGACCACCGGCGCAGCGTCAGGGTTGATAACGAATAACTATTAACGACGAGCATCTGCCGTCGGAGCTAGCTACCGTGCCTCTGCCGTCAGGGCTGACCACTAACGCCGTGATCGCCTCTATGCCGTGAAGGTACCCACCCACCAAGTCGACCAAAGCCGCGCCCCTGCCGTTGGGGCTGCCGAAAAGCGCTGCGACCTTACCGTCGGGGCAGTCGAACAATGCCGCGAATCTGCCGGCCAGGTTGCCGACAGGGCCGCTGACCAACGTCGCGACTCTGCCGTCGGGGCTGCCGACCAACGCCATACCCTGCCGTAGGGGCTGCTGACCTACGCTTTGACCCCGACGGCTATGAGGCCGTCAGGGTGGCCTATCAACTTCGCTGCCCTTCCGTCGGGGTGGCCTATCAACTTCGCTGCCTTTCCTTTGGTGCTGCCGACAACTCTGCGCCCCCATCGTTGAGGCTGCCTATCAACCCCGCAACCCTGCTGACGGGGCTGCTGACCAGCGTCGCAACCCCGCCATCAGTCCTCCCGACTAAAGCCGTGACCCTGCCGTCCTGGCTGCCGACCGACACCGCGACCCTACCGTCGTGGCTGCCGACCGACAGCGCGAACCTACCGTCGGATCTGCCGACCGACACCGCGACGCTGCCGTCCGGGCTGCCGATCAAAACCGCGGTCATGCCGTCGGGGCTGCCGACGACACCGCGATCATGCCGTCGGGGCTGCCGACGCCACCGCGACCCAGCCGTCGGGGCTGCCGACGCCACCGCGACCCAGCCGTTGGGGCTGCCGACCGACACCGTGACCCAGTCTTCGAAGCTGCCGCCTGACACTGCGAACCAGCCGTCGGGGCTGCCGATCGATACTGCGAACAAGCCGTCGGGGCTGCCGACCGATACTGCGACCCAGCCGTCGTGGCTGCCGAATGACACCGCGACCCAGCCGTCGAGGCTGGTGACCGAAACTGCGACCCTGCCGTCGGGGCTGCGGACCGACACCGCGACCCTGCCGTCGGGGCTGCGGACCGACACCGCGACCCTGCCATTGGGGCTGCCGACCGACACCGCGACCCTGCCGTCGTGGCTGCCGGCCCACACTGCGACCCAGCCGTCGTGGCTGCCGGCCGACACTGCGACCCAGCCGTCGTGGATGCTGGCCGACACCGCGACCCAGCCGTCGAGGCTGGTGACCGAAACCGCGACCCTGCCGTTGGGGCTGCGGACCGACACCGCGACCCTGCCGTCGGGGCTGCGGACCGACACCGTGACCCTGCCATTGGGGCTGCCGACCGACACCGCGACCATGCCGTCGGGGCTGCCGACCGACACCGCGACCATGCCGTCGGGGCTGCCGACCGACACCGTGACCCAGTCTTCGAAGTTGCCGCCTGACACTGCGAACCAGCCGTCGGGGCTGCCGACCGAAACCGCGACCCTGCCGTCGGGGCTGCGGACCGACACCGCGACCCTGCCGTCGGGGCTGCGGACCGACACCGCGACCCTGCCGTCGGGGCTGCCGACCGACACCGCGACCCTGCCATTGGGGCTGCCGACCGACACCGCGACCCTGCCGTCGGGGCTGCGGACCGACACCGTGACCCTGCCATTGGGGCTGCCGACCGACACCGCGACCATGCCGTCGGGGCTGCCGACCGACACCGCGACCCTGCCGTCGGGGCTGCGGACCGACACCGCGACCCTGCCGTCGGGGCTGCCGACCGACACCGCGACCATGCCGTCGGGGCTGCCGACCGACACCGCGACCCTGTCATTGGGGCTGCCGACCGACACCGCGACCCTGCCGTCGGAGCTGCCGACCGACACCGCGACTCTGCCGTCGGGGCTGCCGACCGACACCGCGACCATGCCGTCGGGGCTGCCGACCGACACCGCGACCATGCCGTCGGGGCTGCCGACCGACACCGCGACCATGCCGTCGGGGCTGCGGACCGACACCGCGACCCTGCCGTCGGGGCTGCGGACCGACACCGCGACCCTGCCGTCGGGGCTGCGGACCGACACCGCGACCCTGCCGTCGGGGCTGCGGACCGACACCGCGACCCTGCCGTCGGGGCTGCGGACCGACACCGCGACCCTGCCATTGGGGCTGCCGACCGACACCGCGACCATGCCGTCGGGGCTGCCGACCGACACCGCGACCCTGTCATTGGGGCTGCCGACCGACACCGCGACCCTGCCGTCGGAGCTGCCGACCGACACCGTGACCCTGCCGTCGGGGCTGCCTACCGACACCGCGACCCTGCCGTCGGGGCTGCCGACCGACACCGCGACCCTGCCGTCGGGGCTGCCTACCGACACCGCGACCCTGCCGTCGGGGCTGCCGACCGACACCGCGACCATGCCGTCGGGGCTGCCGACCGACACCGCGACCATGCCGTCGGGGCTGCGGACCGACACCGCGACCCTGCCGTCGGGGCTGCCGACCGACACCGTGACCCTGCCGACGGGGCTGCTGCCGTAGGGGCTGCCAACCAACAACTCCATGACCCTGTCGTCGGGGTTGACGACCAATCCTGCGACCCAGCTGTCGAATCTGCCGACCGACGCCGCGAATCTGCCGTCGGGGCTTCCGACCAATGCCGCGACCCTGCCGTCTGGGCGGACGACTAACGCCGCGACTTGCTATCAGAGCTGCCCACTAACTGCTACCCTGCTAGCTGCCAACAACAAATAGTCGTCGTGTACTCAGACAACTAAGCGCCGGTAACATCTGAACTGGTATGTGTAGAGATTAGTTACCAAAATGTCAACAATTCTTTGTCGTCAGGTTAAGCCACCACCGTTTCATTACTTAGCCACCGACTGGTTATAAGCCATCTTCGCTCTGCAACAAACTAACGAATCGAGTCCCGGTCAATACGATGTAGCGCTGCCGTCACAGAGCCCGAAAAATTACCGATTGAGGCGGCCTGTTCGACGTCTAAACTTTATCCATCGAATGTGACCTTAACTTCTAACGTGCCAGCAACATTATTTTGCTGACTCTACTCACAACAGTTGTTTAAACCAAAACTTTGCTTTATGGATATAATTGCAACGTAAGTAAATATTTTAAGAAATATTTTATCTTTTAACTTGTCGATCAAATAATGTGACGCGTCATTGTTCAAAATGCCTTGTGTAATATATTATGGTATTAATTCAATATTCTTCAAACATTATATTGCATTGTGTTGCATGAATAATGGCAATTTATTACAGAATCTGCTGAATAATAATTAAGATTTTAATACGCGCAGTAACACACATTCTTTTGTTAGATGCTCTTTCTACTAATGTATTGATTTCAGATGGCAGTATCCTTAAATTTTCTTTCTATTATTGATATAGTAATTTTGCTTCGTATACGTTAATTTATACTCATAGTTATGTTTAAGCAGTACACATATATATTTTTATTACTTTTATATTTGTCTCAATGTATTTCAGCAAAATAACTTTTTATTCTAGCGAAAACATTCCGTAAGCATTTCTGAAAATGAAAAAACAAGTAAACGGATAAGACTACAAGTTATACGATAGAAACGAAATTTCAAAAAGCATTTAATGTAAAAAATCTCAAATAAAACTTGCTTTAAAATACTGCTTCGAATATTAAGTGGGCAATATTTTAGAGTCCACAAATCAACCATAATATATACATATTATGGTTGGCGCAAACGGTAAAAGATTAAACGAATTAGGATGAGAGTTAATGATTGATTTATAAGACGCATAAAGATAATCACATTATTTACATTATGTACTTAATTATAATTTTTTCTGCTATGTATAGACTAATATTTCAGGACATTCCAAAATACCTAAATAAAAACAAAAATAAATAAAGCACGGCCTAAACACGCACATAGAAGCTTAACTTACCAAGCTTCCTTCTCTTGGTATTACAATTTAAAACGAGGAGTTTTTGCAAATTTGTTATGAAAAATCGGGTGTGTATAAAAATATTACAAGGATATTCCAAAATGTAGAATAACCACAAGGACACTTTAAAGTTAATCTCGAGTACAATCAGAAAATGTTTTATAATAATATGAGTGAAATCGACCATAAGAAATCTGCTTATTCTTAAAAAATTACGCAAGGATAAAACCAATAAGTATAATCTATAAAGTCTATAATATGAAAAGTTTAAATGTTCGTTTCGGGTACGTATAAGGAAATATTTCAGGAACATACGAAATTTATTAAGTCATTAGGCCACCTAAATACATGGAAAAACAATCAAGGAATAATATCATACAACTGAATTGAGTATGCTATATCGATATAAAATGCAAAAAGATGAACTAAATCAGTAAAATGTGAAATTATGATAAAAGTATCCGTTACAATCGGAACTTACGAAGTATATGATATGTATGTGTTAAAGCTTTTACATATGGTTAAGTGGTGAGCAATATTTAATACTTTGTTAAAACATCAACAGTGGAGTGAGATGAATGAATTTTAAATGAGAATAGAGAATTTAAAATGGTTCAATTTTGGCTTTTCTTCGGTATAATACCTATATGAAAAGTTTGAAATTTCGTTTTCGGGTATGTATAAGAAAATATTTCAGGGACGTAGACTTTTATACATGAAGTACACTCAATTGATAATTTACAGTCAATTAAATCAGATCTCGTGAAAAAACGTATATGTGGCCTAATGTATGCTGATGATATAAAACTATTAGTTATCTTAAATGTGAGAATTTAAATATAATGTGCTATGACCGTTCTTCAGTACAAATAAAAAGCTTCAAAGTTGGTTTTTGGGTATGTATGGGAAAATATTTCAGGGACAAGAAATTTCTAAACGGTTATAGGGCGGACTTTATACATAAGAACAATCAAGGGATAATAACATTCAATTGAATAAGAATGGAGAAAATATCTTATATCCGCAAAGCTGATGATAGAAAATATAAAAAGATGAGCTGAATGAGTAGTACTAAACCGTGGTAAAAGTATCAAGTTACGAATTATTATGTTTTGTATTCTAAATAATGCTTGTGAAGTGAGTGGTGAGTATAATATATATTACTTAGTTAACATGCAACATTACAGTGGAGTGAGATAAACACATTTTAAATGAGTGAATTTAAATATAATACACGAAGTATTTTATAGCAAATATGTAACAGTAACATATCAGCTTCCATAATAATTATTAATTGTTATACAATTAAGTTTAGATTAGAGTGCCTATATCTATATCTTGTTTAAATATAGTGTATATTAATTTAAATTGTTTAACCAAATCTCTCTTTATTCTTAACTTCATAAATTCTGTAGGTTGCACTTATTATTTTGTCAGCAGGAATTTAAATGTGGAATAAGATAAATTTAAAGATGGATTTAACGACTTCTTTGTTATATTAGATCATTTAAAGATTTACTAAAAGATCGACATTAAGGTATTATAATTTATTTACTTACCAAAGGAGATTACGATCTGTTAAAAGGTTTGGAATTGAGTCATTGGTTTTTTTTTGTGCCAAAAAGGTAATATAAAGCAATTTTAAACATTATTACTTTGATTTACGACGCCAGGTTTAAAAAGATTGAGGTAAATAATGTTAACTTACCATCATAAGTTTCTGTTATCACATCTTTAACAGGAATTCAAAGATTTATTTAAAAAAAAACACAAAGAAATAATAACGACAGAATTCCCTACAGAGAAAAATATGAGGTAAAAATTAATAAATATAACTCTGAAATAATTATAATTTATATTATTTTTTAATTAAGCATAGGATGTGTTAATTATTTTTGTCAACAGAACTCCGTAGGCTGGTAGACTAGTCCTAAATGACAGTAATTATATTAAAGTATACATATATCGAAACTTAAACAAATGTCAAATAGACGCAAGGAAACACTTCGAAAATTTATTTTTAATGAAACAAGTAGTCACTAACATTTGACTATCGATATAATTAATAACACACTTGTTAATATTTTTGGAGTGGTACTTTTATTTTTTGCACAAGCAACTTCTTTTAAAGGTGGGATGCGCGTATATAATATTTTATTCACAGGTATGATTAAAAGGAATTTTTATAAAATGTCAGAGTAAGAAAAATTAACACAATGCTAAAGTGAAGAAATAATCAATAGAATCATGTACAACATCAAGAGTAGAATATCAGCACACAAAATAGACAGTGTTACATATTTTATGATAATTAAGTAATTCTTACCAATAGTGATTTAAAGGCAAACCGTAAAATTTATAGTGCTGAATATGAGGTATGCAAACAATATAGAACACACATTAGAACAGAATACAATAGGTAGTAACTGGACTGAAATGTTCTAAATAAGAAAAGGAAATCGTTATTAACCTACAGACATTATATAACCTAGAGAAATGAAGAAAAGAAAAGAACAGAAAAAAAGATATAAACTAAAGACCACACAGACTAAATTTATTTTAACAAAAACTTGTAAAGACAAAAGACCAAAAAATAAAGACAATACTGATGAAGAAGTGGAGAAGGAAAAACTATCAAGATTGTGGAGAAGGCAGTGTCTGATGACAGAGTAAAGTAGATGAAGATCAAGAACTGGGGCGAAGACGAAGACTGAAGACCCAGCGATGACACAAAGACATACGACCCAGTAACAATGACAAAGACTTAAAGATCCAGTGATGACCACAAAGTTTTAAACCCAATTGTAAAGACAAAACCTAAAGACCCAGCAACGAAGAAGAAGACCGAAGGCCCAGCGGCGATGAAGAAGACTGAAAACACAGCGGAGAAGACGAAGACTGAAGATCCAGCGGCGAAGACGAAGATCCAGCGGCAAAAAGGAAGTTAGAATACCCAGTGGCGAAGACGAAGACTGAAGACCCAGCGGTGAAGACGAAGACTTAAGACCCAGCGGCGAAGACAAGGACTGAAGACCCATCGGCGAAGACGAAGACTGAAGCCCCATCGGCAGACGAAGACTGAAGCCCCATCGGCAGACGAAGACTGAAGCCCCATCGGCAGACGAAGAATGAAGACCCATCGGCAGACGAAGAATGAAGACCCATCGGCAGACGAAGATTGAAGACCCAGCGGCGAAGACGAAGATTGAGACCCAGCGGCGAAGACGAAGATTGAAGACCCAGCGGCGAAGACAAAGACTGAAGACCCAGCGGCGAAGACAAAGACTGAAGACCCAGCGGCGAAGATGAAGACTGAAGACCCAGCAGCGAAGATGAAGACTGAAGACCCAGCAGCGAAGACGAAGACCCAGCGTTGAAGACAAAGACTGAAGACTCAGCGGCAGACGAAGAATGAAGACCCAGCGGCAGACGAAGAATGAAGACCCAGCGGCGAAGACGAATACTCAAGACCCAGCGTTGAAGACGAAGACTGAAGACTCAGCGTTGAAGACGAAGATGAAGAACCAGCTGCGAAGACGATGACGAAGCCTGAAGACCGTGAAGGGCCGAAGTAGAAGACTAATACTGAAGAGCCGAAGAAGAAGACGAAGACTGAAGACTGAAGAGCCGAAGACGAAGACTAAGAATGAAGAGCCGAAGACGAATACTAAGAATGAAGAGCCGAAGACGAATACTAAGACTGAAGAGCCGAAGACGAATACTAAGACTGAAGAGCCGAAGACGAATACTAAGACTGAAGAGCCGAAGTAAGACTGAAGAGCCGTAGTAGAAGAGGAAAACTGAAGAGCCGTAGTAGAAGACGAAGACTGAATACCACAAGTAAAAGACGAAGACGAAGATTCAAAATGAAGACCCGATAATAGAACGAAGACTGAAGTAGTAGACGAAGACCTGAAGTAGAAGACAAAGACCTGAAGTGGAAGACGAAGACCCGAAGTGGAAGACGAAGACCCGAAGTGGAAGACGAAGACCCGAAGTGGAAGACGAAGACCCGAAGTGGAAGACGAAGACCCGAAGTGGAAGACGAAGACCCGAAGTGGAAGACGAAGACCCGAAGTGGAAGACGAAGACCCGAAGTAGAAGACGAAGACCCGAAGTAGAAGACGAAGACCCGAAGTAGAAGACGAAGATCCGAAGTAGAAGACGAAGACCCGAAGTAGAAGACGAAGACCCGAAGTAGAAGACGAAGACCCGAAGTAGAAGACGAAGACCCGAAGTAGAAGACGAAGACCCGAAGTAGAAGACGAAGACCCGAAGTAGAAGACGAAGACCCGAAGTAGAAGACGAAGACCCGAAGTAGAAGACGAAGACCCGAAGTAGAAGACGAAGACCCGAAGTAGAAGACGAAGACCCGAAGTAGAAGACGAAGGCCCGAAGTAGAAGACGAAGACCCGAAGTAGAAGACGAAGGCCCGAAGTAGAAGACGAAGACCCGAAGTAGAAGACGAAGACCCGAAGTAGAAGACGAAGACCCGAAGTAGAAGACGAAGACCCGAAGTAGAAGACGAAGACCCGAAGTAGAAGACGAAGACCCGAAGTAGAAGACGAAGACCCGAAGTAGAAGACGAAGACCCGAAGTAGAAGACGAAGACCCGAAGTAGAAGACGAAGACCCGAAGTAGAAGACGAAGACCCGAAGTAGAAGACGAAGACCCGAAGTAGAAGACGAAGACCCGAAGTAGAAGACGAAGACCCGAAGTAGAAGACGAAGACCCGAAGTAGAAGACGAAGACCCGAAGTAGAAGACGAAGACCCGAAGTAGAAGACGAAGACCCGAAGTAGAAGACGAAGACCCGAAGTAGAAGACGAAGACCCGAAGTAGAAGACGAAGACCCGAAGTAGAAGACGAAGACCCGAAGTAGAAGACGAAGACCCGAAGTAGAAGACGAAGACCCGAAGTAGAAGACGAAGACCCGAAGTAGAAGACGAAGACCCGAAGTAGAAGACGAAGACCCGAAGTAGAAGACGAAGACCCGAAGTAGAAGACGAAGACCCGAAGTAGAAGACGAAGACCCGAAGTAGAAGACGAAGACCCGAAGTAGAAGACGAAGACCCGAAGTAGAAGACGAAGACCCGAAGTAGAAGACGAAGACCCGAAGTAGAAGACGAAGACCCGAAGTAGAAGACGAAGACCCGAAGTAGAAGACGAAGACCCGAAGTAGAAGACGAAGACCCGAAGTAGAAGACGAAGACCCGAAGTAGAAGACGAAGACCCGAAGTAGAAGACGAAGACCCGAAGTAGAAGACGAAGACCCGAAGTAGAAGACGAAGACCCGAAGTAGAAGACGAAGATTGAAGGTTCAAAGGAAAAGATGTCGACTGAAGACCCAAAGGGGAAGAGTATACTGAAGACCCAAAGGGGAAGAGTAGACTGAAGACCCAAAGGGGAAGAGTAGACTGAAGACCCAAAGGGGAAGAGTAGACTGAAGACCCAAAGGGGAAGAGTAGACTGAAGACCCAAAGGGGAAGAGTAGACTGAAGACCCAAAGGGGAAGAGTAGACTGAAGACCCAAAGGGGAAGAGTAGACTGAAGACCCAAAGGGGAAGAGTAGACTGAAGACCCAAAGGGGAAGAGTAGACTGAAGACTCAAAGGGGAAGAGTAGACTGAAGACCCGAAGAAGAACGGAGAAGGCGAAGTCTGACGAACCTATGGAGAAGATGAAAACTGAAAACCCTTAAAGGAAGACGACATATTTTAATGACACGATGGAGAAAATGAAGAATATATGCAGAAGGTGAAAACTGAAGACTGACGAAGACGAAAACTTGAAGTCCAATCGTAGAATATAAAGACTGAAGACGCTGAAAAACATAACTAAATCTTGAAAAATATGTAATACGAACACTAAAGACACGTTGAACTAGATGTAGACTAGAAACGAAAACTACACAATGACAGAAAAATATTAAGAAAAATATTAAAAACAATAACTGAAAAAGTGACGAAGTCGGAACCTTAAGACCTAACACGATACCTAAAGACCGATGGAGCCTAAAGACGAAGAAAAGAAGAAACTTGATGCCAAAAGACCAAATATGAACCCTGAAGACCGAAGTCGAAACCTGAAGACCAAAGACGAAGCTTAAAGACAAAAAACGCAAACAAAGAAAGAAAACCATAGCAAAAATACATACAGAATATAATTTTCGATTTGTAAACAACTAAGGCAATTGATTCTGATAAAATAAGAAATATACAACCATTATTAGATCTATTATGATGCAACACATATGGCTCTTAGGTATGTTTGTTTATTATTTAGAAACATTAAATTAGTTTTAAATATTATATGGGAAATTAATTTGGATTTTTTTTCAGTTTCAACTATCCAAACTGTGATCTAAAGTGTGACAAACTGAATAAGAAGATGCACACAGACACATGTGAAAGTATGAATCAACAATGTCGGCGACATTTACAATCTATCAAAAATTTAGAAAGACCAATGGAGCCTAAAGACTTAACACGATGCCAAAAGACCGATGGAGCCTAAAGAACTAACACGAGGGAAAAAGACTTAACACCAGGGAAAAGGACCAAACACGATGTAAAAAGACCAACTACGAACACTGAAAACCGAAGATGCAGTCTGAAGACCGAAGTAGAAGCATGAAGACCAAAGACGAAGCTTAAAGTCCGAAAACGCAGGCAAAGAAAGAAAAGCATAGCAAAAATACACAATAAAATTTTTGATTTATGAACAACTAGGCAGTTGATTCAGATAAAATCGGAAAAATCAAACCGTTACATACTCTATTATGATTTAACACACATGGGCATTAGGTATGTTTGTTTTTTATTCAAAAACATTGTTTATTTTTAAATATTATATGGGAAATAATTTGTTTTTTTTTTTCAGATTCATTTATCCAAACGGCGATGTCTTCACTTCGTGTGACAAACCGAATAAGAAGATGCGTACAAACAAATGTGATTCTTACATCAAAGTACGAATCAAAAGTGTCGGCGACGTTCGCAATCGTTTAAAAATTAAAAAGAAATATATACTCGCATTATTGAATTTTATTTTCTCATAGTAATTTCGACCAACATGTATTATTCCGTGAGTCATCGTCATCTCTTCGTGAAGACATGCAGTTGTGATGCAGGCGAGTTACGCGTGTAGAGCTGTCCGTGGGGAAACTATTGCTGCTGTTTATGTGAGGTCGCCGGGTGTCGCGGCAACTTACAAACCGGCAAGAGTTCCGGTTATCAGCCCACTAGGCAAAGCTTAGGTGATTGTGTCATAATATCAACACTAGAAATCAGTAGGCCCCTGTACAGGCTATCGTGTGTGTACCATTTCTTTTAAATCTCAGATCCTGGATCTCACGACTGAAGCTGCCAAAGCAGACTGTAATCCTTCGCCTTCCAACCAAGCACATAAGCATAAGTTGCCCGGCAGGAATGACGGCAAGTCAAAGTGATCCTATCGTCTACATTGAGTATACATGACGCAGCATAATATGGCAGTTATT